GAAGACAGAGGGTAGTGGTGGAAGGATGTTTCTCACAATAGAGACCAGTAACTAGTGGTGTTCCACAAGGGCCAGTCTTAGATCCTTTGTTGTTTGTAGTGTATATAAATGATCAGGAGAAAATGTAGGTGGTCTGATAAGCAAGTTTGCTGATGACACGAAGATTGGTGGAGTTGCTGATAGTGCCGACGATTGTGAAAGTATACAACAGGATATAGATAGATTGGCAACTTGGGCAGAGGAATGGCAGATGGAATTTAATCCAGACAAATGCGAGGTGATGCATTTTGGAGGATCAAATTTATGTGTGAATTATGCTGTAAATGGCAGAACCCTTAGGAACACTAACATTCAGACAGATCTGGACATACAGGTCCACAGTTCGCTCAAAGTGGCAACACAGGTAGTCAAGGTGATTAAGAAGGCATATGGCATGCTTGCCTTCATCACCTGGGGCGTGGACTACAAGTGTTGGCAAACATGTTGCAGCTATATAAAACCTTTGTTAGGCCGCATTTCGAGTATTGTGTGCAGTTTTGGTTACCACATTACCAGAAGGATGTGGAAGCTTTGGAGAGAGTAGAGAAGGTTCACCAGGATGTTGCCTGGTCTCTAGGGCATTGACTATGAGGAAAGGTTAAAAAGACTAGGATTGTTTTCACTGGAAAGACAGTGGCTGAGAGGAGACCTGATAGAGCTGCACAAAATTATGAGAGGCATAGATAGGGTGGATAGTCAGAGGCTTTTTCCCAGGATTGAAGTTTCAATTACAAGGGGGCACAGGTTCAAGGTCAGAGGGGGAAAGTTTAAGAGAGATGTGCAAGGAAAGTTTTTCACACAGAGTGCGGTAGGAGCCTGGAATGCACTACCAGAAGAGGTGGTGAAAGCGGGCACATTGAAGAAATTTAAGAGGCACCTAGATGGGTACATGAATAGGGAGGGAATAGAGGGATATGGATCGAAAAACGGCAGGTTTGTTTTTAGATTAATTAGGGCATGATGGATGGCACAGGCTTGGAGGGCCAAAGGGCCTGTTCCTGTGCTGTACTTTTTCATTTGTTCATTTGTTATGGGAAAATCGCAGAAAAGGAGATGTGAGGAATGTCAGATCAGCCATGAATGGTCAAGCAAGCTAAAGGGGCCAAATGGCCTCCTCCTGTACGTATTTCTTGCAGTCTTAAACAGTAGTACAATGGGACAACAGTACAATCAGCAGGAAGAGCACTGAGGTTACTTATAGAACAAAAAGCTCACAAATCCCAGAGACCTGATGGATCTCATCCCAGGATCTGAAAAGAAATGGCTGCAAAGAATAGCTGCATTGCTTTAATTTTCCAGAATTCCCAAAATTCTGGGAAGCTTCCATCGGTTTAGAAAATAGTAAATGTAACACTTCTATTCAAAAGAGGAGGGTGACATTAATCAGGAAATCATAGACCAGTTTGTCAAACATTTGTGAAAGGGAAAATGTTAGAATCTATTGTTAAGGAAGTTATTGCAGACCATTTAGAAAATCTTAAAGAAATAGTTTTGTGAAAAGAAAGTAATAAATGCAGTTCAGCATTAGAGTTCTTTGAGGAATTAACAAGGAACATCAATAAAAGAGAACAAAAACAGAAATTGCTGGAAAATTTCAACAGGTCTGGCAGCCTCTGTGGAGAGAAATCAGAATTAACATTACCTGTGCTTGGCCCATATCCGTGTATACAGTACGCACTGACACTACTGAGTATTGATGGTGGAAGGAGTGCATGTTTGTGGATGTAATGCCAATCAAGCATGCTGCTTCATCCTGGATGGTGTCAAGCTTTTTTTTGGTGTTGTTGCAACTGCACCCATTCAGTCAAATACAAAGTATTCCATCGTACTCCTGATTTGTGCCTTGTACATGATGGACAGGCTTTGGGGAGTCAGGAGGTGAGTTATTTGCCATGGCATTCCTAGTCTCTGACCTGCTCTTGTAGTCACTGTGTTTATGTGACAAGTTGAGTTGAGTTTCTGGTCAAAGGTAACCCCAAGGATGTGGGCAGTGGGGGGGGATTCAGTGATGGTCACACCACTGAATGTCAATGGACAAAGGTTAAGATTGTTTCTTATTGGAAATGGTCATTGCCTGGCATTTGCGCAGAACGCACATTACTTGCCATTTCTCAGCCCGAGCCTGGATATTGTCGAGATCTTGGTGCATTTGAACATGGATTCCTTAATGCTACACTTGGTCAAATCACTTGATGTCAAGCGCTATGACCTTCACCTCACCTCTGGAATTCAACTCTTTTGTCCATGCTTGAACCAAAACTGTAATGCGGTCAGGAGCTGAGCGGCCCTGGCAGAACACAAACTGGGCGTCGCTGAGCAGGTGTTGCTTGATACCACTATTGATGACACCTTCCATCACTCTATATATACCCTAAAAGAGTCATACAGTCATGGGACAAGGAAACAGCAATGTTTCTCCTTGGAAAAAGAGCCAACATAATCAAAGACCGCCTACTCCAGTTATATTCTCTTCCACACTCTTCCATCAGGCAGAAGACACAAAAATTTGAAAACATGGGCTAACAGATTTCAGAACAGCTTCTTCTCCACTGTTATCAGACTTATGAACAGACCTCTCATATATTAATCTTTTGTTGCACCTTCTCTGTAGCTGTAACACTATATTCTGCAATACAATACTTTTCACTGTATCTCAGTACATGTGACAATAACAAATCAAATCAATTTAAAAGTAGGGTACTTCCCATTTAAAAACAGAGGTAACAAGGTGTAGAGCTGGATGAACACAGCAGGCCAAGCAGCATCAGAGAAGCAGGAAGGCTGATGTTTCGGGCCTAGACCCTTCTTCAGAAATGGGGGAGGGGAAGGGGGTTCTGAGATAAATAGGGAGAGAAGGGGAGGCGGATAGATGGATAGAGGAGAAGATAGGTGGAGAGGAGACAGACAGGTCAAAGAGGCGGGGATGGAGCCAGTAAAGGTGAGTGTAGGTGGGGAGTTAGGGAGGAGATAGGTCAGTTCAGGGAGGATGGACAGGTCAAGGGGGCGGGATGAGGTTAATAGGTAGGAGATGGGGGTGGGGCTTGAGGTGGGAGGAGGGGATAGGTGGGAGGAAGGACAGGTTAGGGAGGCGGGGACGAGCTGGGCTGGTTTTGGGATGCGGTAGGGGGAGGGGAGATTTTGAAGCTTGTGAAGTCCACATTGATACCATTGGGCTGCAGGGTTCCCAAGCGGAATATGAGTTGCTGTTCCTGCAACCTT